TCCAAGTGTTTGGGTTACGATCTTGGGAAGCTTAATGTAGTCTTCACAGTTTCCGAATCTTGGTGTAACAGTTTAGCGTCAATAGTAGTGACAATGGCAGTAATTTTAAATTTTTAGATTTTCTGTCTTTGTGTAGGTGCACTTAAAGTTATTGATGCCTGATGGATCATTCTTTGAGCATAAATATGACCAAGATACTACAGTTGAGCAAATTACTTCTTCTTTGTTCACTGATTGGCCTGATAGTAAGTCATTTAGTACTAGTAATGGTTCAATAGGCTTAGGAAAGAGGCCAGATTCAAATCACTTGAAACTTATTTTCCAAGGCCGGTTTTTGCATGGCGCTCTCAAACTGTCAGGTATCTTTCCCCACGAATACCTGATAGCTTATCAGTGTATTTATTATAGTGCTTCTAGTTTGTGTCATGTCTTATTTTTTCTGATAGTATTGTAGCGGTAAATAAATGTGATGCGCTCTGTTTCAATCTACTGTAAAGGACGAGTGAGTTATTTACGATCTAGTACTAAAGAATTAAGTTATGCTTAATCAGCTTGTCATATAGATCTTCAGCAAAGCAAGACACCAAAAGAATAAACGAGTCGTTTGGCCATTAATTTCACCGACTGGGGATTTGTAAAAAACGGTCTGATCTTGTTATAGGACATACTGAATACAGGCTACATGATTGAACTTATTCTACCTGGAGCCCGCAGTCGCATCCCGAAGGTAACCTTTAGGAATTAATTCATTCAAAGTGATAGATGAAGCAAAACCTCGCTTTTTCACTCTATGAGTGTTCTACTGAAAACTTTCACAACAAATAAAATCACAGCCTCTGACTATGTAAACAGTTTAGGGAGACTACATAATCGTGTATGTAGTTATAAGTTATCGTATTACAAACAGAATAGCAGTTAAATACACTTGTATATAGTAAATAGTTGTTTTACTGATCAGTCTTACCTTCACCTCATTTCTCGGTATGAAAAGCATATCGTACCCTATTTTATCTCTGATTATTCCCATTCATCTGGTTATTTTGATATAGTAGTGTGTTTACTTGTTTCTCTCTCTTATTTGTTCATAGATAGTTCTCTCCACTACACTTTATCATCATAGTTTATATTACAACCAATTAGACTACTGTTCGATGGCGTTACAGCTGCTAGTCCCAGCAACCCCATTTCCCTGCGACAAAGGCACCCACTCATACTCTAAACGTAACTAAAACTAGGGAATCATTGAACTGATGACTTTTCTGAAATATCCTAGTTTTTGGAGATTCTACTTCAAAACTGTTCAGAGACCGATTATAAGGTTATAAGTTACATTTATATAGAATCTAAAAATACCTATTATGTATACTGAAATATATAGGTTTGACTGTGGAATTGCTACATAACCATTAATTGTGTTGAAGTCACTAGGTGAGGCCGACCTGTTTTTTAAGTGTTCAGTATGTTTCTATGTATAATTCATTTTCAGAATTGAAACTACCCTCTGAAACGATTACAATGCATTTAATTCAACATAAAACGATGTCATTGACGAGGATAAATGGTAAGTATAATTAAATACCTTCCAGCTAAATGTAAACACTTCCATCAGTCTTTTTAATGAATTACTGTCAGTAAGGAGCCCTGTCAAAAGGATTTACTTGAAAACCTTTTAAATATGGAAACTTCCATAAACATAGTTAATGCGCGTACAATACATTATGATTGTTAGTATATTATCAAATCAAAAGCCAATAATTATTTTTGATAGTCCAGCACATGCTTTAAAGTAATTGGCTTTATTAGTGCTTAAAATCATTGATTTTACTCGATAGTGACTTATAGTTATCAAGGTGGATTAGATAAGTAATATCATTTGTTCTTTGTAGGTTTTACCATATTAGATGATTCATTTGAAGTAGTAGAAGGTCATAAGTATCTGATCTTTCTTTGCCCTTTGAAAACCTTTTTAGTGGTTTCATTATTCCTAAATCATTTACCCTCCTGACCTACCTATGTTTGTAATGTTGGTAACTATTTTCATTGAAACATATATTGACAGAATTCTCAGAACAAAATGTGATATATGTGTGCATAAATTTCGAACAAATTTATTTCTATTAACTTTTTAGGGCGATTTATTTAAACAATAAAGGGGTTAACTACTTAAAAAGATTGTCATTTAGGATTATTTTTAGATGGTGTTTGTTATGTGTTGAAAAAACACTATGAAGCTCATCAGCGAGGCTATGCTGTACGAGAGATATGCAGAAGATATACTTGCTATAGGTAATTCACAGTCTGATGTAGCTTTGCTAGATAGACCGTATAGTATACAGAACTATATCTTGCTAAGCCGAGTAGGGTTTTTATCATATCATGCAAAAGTGAACCATCATAATTTTCAAGCGTAGACAGGAAAATCATTGAGGAGGTATTATGTTGCCCGGTTGATCGTCATTGCAAAGGGAGAACCTATGATTTTACACAATCTCGAACATCGTGTGGACAATTACGATACACATTCCACTTCGTTCACATATGTGCATGCATGTAGGGTAGGGGGTATTCGAGGTATGTACTTGAGGGTGGTTAGTCAGTCAGTAACAACGTAGAATTTCGTACGTTCGTACATCAGTTCGAGTTGCCACACCGCATTAGCACAGAGATGCAGTGGTCGATTCAAATCCCGTAGTGGTAGAGGTAATAAGAGTATAAGCAGTAATCGGGGAGATTAGTGTTCGGAGATGTTACTTAAAGAGTATAATATAGTGAAATAAATTTGGGTTAGACATTTACTGGAATTGTCTCAAGCTTTCTCGGTGTCATTCTCAGGTGAGCACAAAAAATAGTTAGACACGTCTCTTCTTGTTATGGTTTATAACTGGAACACATCTCGTAACATCCAAAGCAGGATAGATTTTTAAACCTTCACCTTCCACATAGCAGTTAAAAAACTGTTCTATTGGTATAGGTTCTTAAGTTTGTGAAGATTTTGAATATTAAGAAAATCTGCTTTTGCGTTCAAAAACTTGTTTTCCATTTAAAACTTGATGGCTCGTAATATATTAATGCCATAAATAATATAACGTCTTTTAATTATTTTTATGCTGTACCTTATCTCCCATTAATTTTCAGTTATCACTTTTAATCTACTTAACCTTTCACAAGAAATACCTTGGAAAGTAAATGTGTAATCAGAGTGTTTGAAAGATATAGAGCATATAAGTCACATTTTTTAGGCCAATTCTATTTTCTTGCCCTTTCAAAAGTTTTTAAAGATACTGTTTTAATGAACGAATTTAATGTAAACTCTAATAAGAATGATTTTATTCATACTTTGGTAACAGCTGACTTTGATGTTATTACTTCAAATCGTACTTTGAAATCTGGTAAAACTCATAGAGTCAACCGTCCTATTATGTACGACTTTTACCATTAGCATAGATAAATCTGGTCATCGTTTCAGGGCTCCCACTATTGATCCCCATCCCCTAGCATAGCTTCGAACCACCAACTCAACTATCAATATTTTGAATTGATATGGGGTTTGAGTTTTGATTCATTCGGATTTGACAGTGACGATTGTTCTCGGCTTCAATTCATATTTTCAATGTCATTGCTAATTTAAAAACATGTCTTTTTATGCTTATTCATGCAAACTTTGATATTTGTTATCAATTATTGCAGGACAACAAAAACGACTCAAAAGATGTTGCCCTCTGAATTGTTTATGTCTACATTGAGGTCATTGTTACTCTTCATTTGTTTATCTCTACAATTATCTGGACGTAGATTATGCCAATGTCTTTCTTCAGCAAGCCACCAATTTCCTCCATTTTAAAAAAATACTTATAATTTCTTAGTAGAAAAACGTTATCCTACAGTTTATGTTGATTGTTGTAAACCTAGTCACAATAAGTCAGCAATGAATCAAAACATTCCTATCCTTCTCTCTTATACTCAACCCTTCTTTTTTCTTCTACAGGCTTCTAACAATAAAAAAGAATTATAAAACATTTAGGAATCTTCTAATGCAGTATTTCTTTATTTAGAGACAGAAAGATAAATAGTAAATATTAATGGTGAATTGTTCATTTATTCAGTTTACTATCCATATTTTGTCTCTTATTCTTTACATCTCATTTATGTATGGTTTGCATCTTTGTACAAATAAAATAATCTCATTATGTAATCATTATTCACATGCCAAACATTGAACTTTTGTAGATGTAAATGGGTAGTTTATTCCTAATGTAGTTTTTTTGTTTTAATATCCTAATTTATTTTAATTGCTGTTTCATTAACAATGAGTAGATTTGTAAAATGATATGCTTTTTTGATCTTCACTGTCTTCTACTTTCTTACTTATCATGACATATACACTTCCTGTTTACAATGTGCAATATAGTAATTAGAGTATTAATAATGATTATTGCTTTACAATTTTTAATCGGGAGGGGGTTTTAGTGGAGATTGTAGTAATTTAGTAGTTGAGTTCATGAGTCAATTGAAGCTAGACCACCATGAAAAACGTGGAAGCAGTGGACGTTCATCCAGTGAAACGATATACTCAGTGCAAGTTCAACATATTCAATGTGTGGTAGATATTAAAGACTTACAACATAAGGATTTGAAGAGTGATATTTTGAATCGTGATCATGAAAACTTGTTTTCCCGCAATTTTAATAATCCTCTACAATATGGGCACGATAGCTTAAACATCTTGGTCATTTCTATCCATTCAGTTGAACGCTGAGAAAAAGATCATTATATTTTCAAAAGACGAGCACTTTTGAATATACAACAGACATTAATTTATAATCAATGTAGGTGAAAATAACTAGCCCATATAAAGGCAGTATCTTAGCTTGGAAAAAAACCCTGATAATTAGACAATATTCGCATCTGTGAATCGAAACTTGTTGATAAATTCAATAGTTCTGTGGAATTGATAAGCTCGTAGACAGTTAAAAATACAATGAAAAAACCATCCAATCGGTATTAAATCCTAGAATAAAACAAACAAGTTGCCATCACTGAATTATATTGAGTCTGATTTCAATTTCTACCGTCACAATATGCTTTCGGAATCAGAAAATTATAAACAACAAGCTTTATTGTTTGGATTAAAAAAATAAGTAATACAGTTATACATATACAAAAAGACATTAAAATGAAATTAATCTATCAACCTCTAGTTGGTCTCAATAGTTCGATTTGGTGTTGTGCTTACACAATTTGAAAGACAATCATTTTGTTTTGTTTCTAAACCACACGAACTAGTCGGATTATTACTATCGTTGTTATTGGGCGTACTAATATCATTGCAATGTTCAGCTTGGGACATTGTTGACTGACGCAAAAGGCTTTGACGTCTTGTCATCATCAATCCTGAAGAGTAACTATTACTACCATCCAAATGATTTTGTAGTATTTCAGTACAAACATTTTTCTCACACGTATCAGATTTACTCGACGTTGATGACACTAGTGGATTAAGATTCTTTTTCTTTACTACAGGTCGATCGTGAACATTGTTTATCAGGTCATGGTGAAACATACAAACGATCTGGAGTAATTGAAATAAAGAAAAAAAGATACAGTCGCGTAATTATCATATACAGTTCTAGTGCATGATATAGTCGAAAAGAAAATCTTCGCTTAAACATTTTAATCGTTCCAATGCTATATGTATATTATAAGAAGAGTGAAAACTTTACTAATTTTCAGAGAATTGGAGATTAACACAGTAGTGAAAAACATTGATAAGTAGTTGAACATATCGTGTTTCATGTTTCTTACGACGTTCTAGTCATTGTTATTGTGTACCAATCAAGAGAATTACAAGTTTATCTTGATCATATTTAATAGATTTCTTATTACTGTTCTAGAAAAATTTCACTTGAAAACATTTAAACCAGATGGTAAGCAATTTATACCCCGGACTATATGTTGGTACAATTCAACTTTCTACAAATAGTATGGCTGTGATCAATAATTTTATTTCCTGAGTAAGTTTCTTTCATAATGATGAAATAAACAAACGAAGAACTGCTGACTCAATGGTGAGTTATATTTGTCCAATAATTGCCCTTTTTACTACACCACTTGCCATAATTAAAAAACATCGTATTAAAAATATAACTAAATCTGGTCATTGTCATGCAAACAATTTCTTCAGGAAAGAGTCTAACGAAACAAGGCATCTAATTTTATTGACCTCATGAAACTAGTTTATTTTGACGGGAAAACATTACTTTCAAAAATAATTTACCAGTTGTTATTATATTTATTTTATTTGAACACATAAATATTGGTACAAGAGGGCACCAAAAATACATGCGCCACACAAAAAATGAGTATTTGAAGAGAGAAAAGAAAGGCAAGGAGGGTAAAAAAAAAAGAGAAATAACAAACAGATTAGTGTAAAGTAGTGCAATAGTAATAATGGGGGAAACGAAAAGGTACAATCAGAAGAAATCTTTCAGTTAAGGGAGACACAACCACTGTTTATGAAGAAAGTAAAAGAAGGTTACAGCAGAATCGCCACTGGCTTCTATTCTGAGCTATATCTGATAACTTCTCTAGCCACAGTGTAGCACCATCTCTCGGACCCCAAACCAGGGAGTCGTGAAGCACCAACACAAGCCAGTTCTTTGCAGCTTTCTTTCATACCACGACACCATGTCATACACTGACCACCTCTCCGCTTTTTCCAACCAGTCTCAGCGTCGGCAAATAATGCACGACGTGAAATTCTCTGGGACGACATTCGTAGAACATGTCCAAGCCACCGAAGTCGGTGTTTCAAGATGGTGACACAAATTGGATTATCGTCTCTGCGCCCGAACACACGATGCCGAACCTCTGCATTACTGACATTGTGTTGCCACAGGATGTCAGCAATCCTTCAGAGACAACGATGATCGAACACAGAGTCGTCTAACATCCTCAATTCGGAGAGACCAGGTTTCACAAGCATAGAGCAAAACTGCTCTCACCGACGCGTTGTAGGTCCGACCTTTTACAGTCAGACTAACATCACGAAGGCGCCGAAGGTGGCCCAGATTGGCATAAGCCGCTCTGGCTTTCACTATACGTGCATTGATCTCATCACTCACGCCACCACCAGCACTTATGCAGCTACCCAGATACACGAACTTTTCGAGTACAGGACTAGAATCCTGCCAGTCTTGTAGAAGTACTTTGCACTTCGAAGGTGCAAAGCTCATACCGCACCTACGGACACTAATTGCCAACTGATTAAGTGCGGATTGCATGGCTTGGGCATTATCACGCAGTAAGACAATATCATCTGCATACTCAAGGTCCAGAAGTCTTTCTCCAGGCAGTAGATCCGCCATTACTCACATCCATCAGATCTGTTTCCAGAATGTCATCGATGGCAAAGTTGAAGAGGAGTGGTGAGATTGGGCAACCCTGTCTAACCCCACTGCTTGAATGGAGCAATGGAGAGAGGTGGTTGTATACCCTCACTCAGCCTGAGGTGTTTGTATATAAGGCTTTTGGATATTAATAAACTTCTCAGGCACACCCTTCTTCAATAGACAATCCCAGAGAACAGTCCTATCCAACGAATCGAAGGCAGCCCTGATGTCCAGAAACACTACGATTGTTGGCCTTTGATAAGTATGGAGGTGTTCTAACATTTGGCTAAGGGCGAAGATATGATCAATACATCCTCGACCAGATCGAAAAATAATCTGCTCCTCGCGAGTCGATCTTTCTCGGGTTTTGAACAACCTACGAAGTATGACGGAAGCCAATAGTTTGGACGCAATCGGAAGTAGACTTATACCTCGATAGTTTTTACAGGAACGACGTGAGCCCTTTTTAAAGATAGGGACAACTATCGACTCATTCCATGACGTTGGTACACTCTCTAACTCTCACACCTTTGTAAACAACATTGTCAATTCCTTAGTCAGAAAGTCACCACCATCTTTAAAAAGAGCCGTGGGTAAGTCATCTTGGCCAGGTGATTTGTAGCGCTTTAAGAGTTGGAGTTCCTCGCGGACTTTCGCCTCATTTGGTGGATCAGTCGTCACCGGCCATGGATGGCAGGACAGTTTGACCGATGTTGTCGGACCAGCAGGCCAGTTGAACTGCCCTTCAAAGAATTCTGCCCATCGTCCAAGACGTCGATGGATGTTAGTGGTTGGCATCCCGTCATCCTCGCAGATTGTCGCTCACACCAGACTTCTTGCTGCCAGTGGCTCGGATGAGTTGGAAAAGCTTCCGGCAGTTACCAGATGCAGCTGCTGCTTCCAGCTCATTAGCATGCTCCGACCTCCAGGCTTCTCGGTCTTTACGCAAGCTTTTCCTGGTTTCATTACGTAACAGCCTTCGTTTGTGGTCAAACTCACGGTCACCCGGAATAGACCGACGAGCTTCGATGAGTTGAGCCAGAAGAAACCCAGTGCTTGTAAGCGGGACGTTTCGCGAAGCCGCAAGCGGCTTTACTCGCCATTTTGATGGCAACATGAAGTTGCAACCAATGCTCATCTATACTTTTCGGCGGAATGGTAGCTAGCCTAGAAGCTAGCTCGGTTCGATACTTACTTGCAACCAACAAGTCCCCATCGGCCACCTAAACGACTCTCTTCTGTGCCTAGACGACCGACCTGAGCATTCAAGTCTCCAGCTATTACTAAAATACCCGTCGAACGCACTTTCTGGAGAAGAACAGTTAACTGGTGGTAGAATACATCCTAGAAAGCATCTGGGCTACAATCGGTCGGGGCATGGGCAGAGATGACAAAAAGACATCGTTCCTCACGCCGATTTCTTCTCACTTTGATGGAAATTTCTATTCTAACAGCACATAACTGATTGTTAATGTGGTTTCAATCGACTAGTGTTGCCTCAGCTCTAGCGCTTAGTGCGACACCAACGCCAGCAAGACCAGACGAAGATGCTACAGGGTCCTCGGATAAACGCGCATAGAACAAGCTTTTCGAAGCGACAGATGGAGATCGAAATTGTAGTACTTCACCAGAGTCTTGAATACGAGTCTCGGATAGACAACAAACGTCGATATTAAGACTTTCCAAAGACATAGCCAGCCCTATCTGTTGTCCGACCTGCATAAGTATGCGAACGTTGAAGGCAACCAGTTTGAATGGTGCACGTGGTTTCAGAAAGACTGCTTCAGTATTCGTATTTGATGATAGCACACAATTTTCAACTAGGCAGTGATTCGAGAACGTCTAGATAGAGCCTAATTTCCACCATAGGTAAGCTGCTGTATAACTCGAAAAATAAGGATACACAAAGTGGGAATAAAAGCGAGTGAACAAATGACGTAAAAAATAATAATACTAATAATACTACTACTACTAACAATAATAATAATGTGAATTGTTTGATAGTCAATCGAAGCAAGGTAAGTATTTCCCATAAATATCGACATTTCATCATATTTATGTGCGGGTTGTGATACTACCCGGGTGCCCAGATAGAAGCTGGTGGTTTGCTTAGAGGGCCACACCCCGAGCCTTTGACCTAAAGGTCCGACCCACAAGGCAGTGGAGCATCGTGAGGAGATGCAGTCCCACAGTAGCCGGTGGACATTCCTACACTTCATACGATGAAGGTTCAGAAAACGTGTCTCCATCTAGAGGGTATCAGTTTTTCATTTTGAGAAATGAAACATGCGAAGTGCTACTGTAGTAAACGATAACTTAAGTGGGGATAACCAATTTACTGTTTTATGCAAAATTACAGAGTGAGTTCGAAAACTATGAAAACTATACACTTAATACATTATTTGCACATTTTCCATCAGTTGTCTTTTACATGCTTCATGATTCTTTCGAATTTTGTTGTTATTACAATTACTCTCTGTTCCCTTTCTGTTCTCTTTAACTCACTCTTCTGCTGGCATGCATTCCACTTCCGACCGCTGCTACATACTACTTATATCCGTCAGCATAAGTAGCATGCACCACACTACGTCTAAATGAGACTATTATTTTATGAATTTCAATAGACAGTACTTGTTTTCTGTGATTAGCAGATATGAAGAAGACGGAAATATAATTAATAATAATAATAATAATAATAATAATAATAATAATAATAATAATAATAATAATGTTGATACAGGCAATCAGCATTTCGAGTCAATTTTAAGGTTACGAAACATTATAAATCCGGTTAAAGAAACAAACTTACTCGAGCAAGAAGAGAGTAGAGTTTCTTATTTTCTATACGGTCAACAACATTATTTTCAGGTCGATTGTTAGATAATTTACGATTGCGTTTTGGCAGAACTGGAGGCAGAACAACAATACTACCTTCAACATGGGCCAGACAAAATGAAGATGGACATATGGAACAGAAAATATGAGAAGGACGACCACATGCATCACAATGATGCCAGGGACAAAACCACTGACCTATAATTAGAATAAATATGCAGATAAGAGATCCAATACAATATTTGTTGTAAAAAAGTGGGAATAACATTAATCTTACCTTGAGGTGGTGTATCTAAATCCAGACAGAATAAATGATAAGCTTTAGAACAATCGTGTTTACTGCATAAAATAAGATCAGCTGACTTGTACGATGTTTGATCTTCGGTGGTAGTATTAGTAGTACTTACAAAAATCGATGATTGTGTTTCGTTTCGACTGATTACTGTAGGCGAACTGAGTCCATGTTGACTTTTGCTTGGTGAATGACTCACTACTGATGCAACTAAATCTTCTAGTTCACGCTTTAGTCCACGTTTACTTAGAGATTTATTCGATGACAATGAAGATGATGGTACAATAGTAGTATTATTATGTGAAGAATTCGTTAGACTGAATGTTTCACTGAATAATGATAGTGATCGCTTTCCAATAGGAGCGTCTTTTTCGCCACATCTATGAAATAGTATTGAAAACAATTTTTAGTCAACGATTAGACAAATAGGTAGATGAATAACAAATATCTTGATATTAATGAAGTATTCCTGGAAATAATAATTACTTTCAATCACGAAATAATATCCATACATATTGATAATATTTCATGAAAGTTTACCAATGAGTTGTGTAAAGTTAAGGATTTTGACTTTGAACAAAATATGAAATAGTAAATCATAAATGACTGTTTACGAAATGTTTTGATTAAAGATAAACAGCATTCAAGTTATATATCAAACACTGAATTTTTAAAAAAAAACTAGGCTGTTCATGATTTACGTAAAAACAGTGACCATTCACTAAAATATAATTTCTATGAAATGAGAAATCACTACTACCATAAAAGTGGGAAGCAGAGATCCACTCACCTAATAGTTTCTAACTTTATTGCAATTGTTAGAATATTGATATTTAGTCTAAATGATGCTTCTGGAGACTAAAATATTCCTAAATTACTGAAAAAATTGCATGCTCACTGCAAGACCAAAAATACTGATAGATAGATTTTAACTAATCAGCGCTAGTGGATGAGTGAAGGTATTAGAATTTTTTTCTTCGTAAATTGTTATTCCAGCTATTTTGGAATATGTATGGTTTTAATTTGTGCCAAGATGAGTGGATCGCAGTGATCAGTGTTTTAGTTTTAAACAAAGAAGAAGGTAACAGCTTTCAAGGTTAAATCATTATTTTTTTGCTTTAATGGTTGCATAATGCATTCAAGTCAAGTATAATCACGTTGACTAGTCCCTATAGCTGACAAAATTCTATTGATAAAGCCGAAATGTGGCCACTAAGTCAAATAATTAAGTTTGTGTGTTTGGTGTTGGGTGATCGGAAGGAATCAACGAACACTAGATAATATGACAGCGGTTACTACTCGTTAAAGATTTATACAAGAGATCGGTTGAGACCCGTAGACAATAAGCAGGGTAGTTTCGGATTTCTTTAAACAGAATCAGTTATCCTAAGAATCCAAATCAGAATTTCACAAACAGGACAAAAGTTTGAAAAAAAATTAAATATGAAGTATTATTACTTAGAACGAGAAAAATATCCCCATATATACTACCGACCGGAAACATTTAGTTTCGTGACGTCTATTCATATTCAAGGGACTATTCACATTGGTCGAACCGTTTTTGTTATTGTTTATCAGTGAAGTAGTAGATAGATTATGATTAGAAACTTTACTAGAACATATGTCACGTCCGTCTTTCATATGACACTTGTCAATATCGTTGGAGCGTGAATTTGTTTGGACGGTATGACGTTTAGATGATCCACGGCTAATATCTGTGTTAATTAAAGCATTTGATGGATTATTTGATTCACCATAATTAGAAGATGAGTTACCGCCAACTTGTCCACTACCATTATTATTACTGGATGATTCTGAACGTGCACCAAGAAAACCAACACAATTTGACGCACCACATCGACAATTCAAACGTTCTTGACCCAATGCAACAAAATTATAGTTGAATGTTAACTCTTCACCAGCAGATATATCTCTAAAGTAAATCGTATGAAATAGACGAAGCAAAACAACACAGATATTAATATGCTATTTTTCCTTCTAATGATTTTCTACTCTAAGCGAAATAATACTACTGATGACGTAATGGAAAACATATGGTGAAATCTTATCGTTTATTCATTTACGTTATATATGACTAAGAATCTTTAAGAGTTGTGAATTTTTCAAGTTCCGAAGAATTTCGTTACTGACATTCATTTTCAGAGTATATATATGTAGATACATTTCTTTACAAAATATAGAGATTGGTTCAAATCTAGTTGAGAATCAAGTATTTTTCTCGGAACTTCAATCACGATTTTTGTGAAAAATGATAAGTTTATAGATTACTGCAACCTCAATCACCAATAATAGTAATAATGACAATCATAATAATATTAATGAGGGAATTAATAAATTATTGTGACGACATTACACGACAGAACTAATCGTTTATGATTTCAAAATTAACCAGTAAGAACGAAGATCCCTTGCTGTGAAAAGATTAAGTATGGAACTGTGCTAAATTATACCTGTCCATATTAAACAGAATGATAACTATGTACGCTTTAGTATAGCTAACTCAGCTGACACATAAATACTGAAAAATGGAAATAAAATTGACGAGTAAAAATATTACAAAAAGTGGAAGAGAAACTAGTGAAGAATAAACGAAACAACAACTCACCTGACAGCAAATAAACCAATTCTATTATCTCCATTAACAGTCCATTTTTGTGTATTCAGATTTGGATCACATGAATGATTCATAAAACGGCTTAAATTACCTTTCGGTCCAGCATCAATAATACGTTGACTGTCTAATTTCATCATATAATAATTAGTAATATTATTTTCATGAGCAAATCTTAAACGCCGATTAGCTTCATCTTCATCAATTAAATCACCAATATATTCATTGACAAATTCACCCTAGAATAAAATTAAAATATTTTAGCCAAAAAGCAGAGAAATTTGATTTGATGGAGAAGATTTGTAACTCAAGTACATACTTTCAGTGCTTTAGCATTCAATTAATCATTGAGTCATAGATGCACAAACCAACACGTATACTTGAATTTTGACTTACTTTATACCCCCCCATCCCTAAAGTACTGCTTCAAGTTTGTATTAATAACTATTTGATGCTCTTACTGGAGTCTGATTACGATTTTTACTATTTATACTATTGTTTGATTCTTTATCTGCAAAAACTGCTTGAAGTAATGTCCTTGAGTACTGAATATATTGCAGTGTTTTTGTGTAAATGTAAATATACGGCAATTTATTTGTCTCTCTTTTGATCTATGTTCAAGCAGTCTCTATGATAACCTATACAAAACTAATACACAAAAATCTTGTTTTAAAGAACTCTATACGTGCATGACAAGGTATATTTAATAGCATGATACTTACTTACGCCTATTACTCCCAGTGGAGCATAGGCTGCCAACCAGCATTCTAGTTTCTTCTAGTTAGCGTTTTTTTTTAGCGAGTTAGTTTTCTACGGGATGGGGTCGCTAACTCCATGCCCAACCCTCCTCCTTTATCCGGGCTTGGGACCGGCAGTAGCCCCTGGAGGGACTCCAGGCGGCGTGATAAGATTTACATGTGATGAACAGGAATCGGTTATTTAAAGTATATATTCACCTTCCCACAGAACAACATTCATAGATTTCAGTATGCACTTTATGTAATATTTACATGATTTTAATTTATAAACGACATACACTAAAATACAAGGTACTTTGTCCCTAAAAAAAATAGTCACTGCAAATATAACCATTATTGAAAAAGTTTGTTTTATGATATTGATTTAGAGGGAAAGACATCATAGTCTATTACTCAATATTTTCCAATTATTAACATTTGATAGAAAAACCTTCAGTTTTATTGTTAACTCACTGACTAGGTACTTGGTGGCCCCCAAATGCCCTGGTATGGCCGATAGTGGGGAGGGTCCGCTCTCCCACTCGAAATGCTCTCACATGGACACGCGTATATAGCCTATGACAAGAGGGTCCTACTCACTGCCTTCTCATGGTGGGGGTGTTGTTTATCAGATTGAGTGAACGAAAAGCGAATGTCTGTCGCTTTAACCGTGTTGGTGGAAACGGAGAGTCCACCTAGGGGAGTTAGAATGCCCTAATTTTAAACCAATGGTGCATATGGGCTCCAGTACCCTGGGGAAACAAATGGCGTATGAACCAATCGTTGGTCACCGGCTACCATGGGACTGCATTTCCTTACGATGCTCCACTGCCTTATGGACAAGACATTTAGGTCAAAGGCCCGGAGAGTAGCACCCAGGCAGTATCACAGCCTTCACACAAATCAAATGAGGTTTGTGTGGCACATATGTATTTGGTGCCCCGTTGTACCAGAATTTGTGTTCAAATAAATAAAGGTACTTGGTATAGAGTCATATCCGGTGCCTCAAACCGAAGTAGATGTAGTGAATTTTAAACCTGTGACTTACTGGCTGGAAGTCGAACACCTTAATCACTACACCACCACTTCACATGTTACGCAATAGAACATTTAGGCTATAAATATAATGAAAGTTAAAAGTTTAAAAATAATAAACCTAAACTGATAAAAATAGAACAAAATACATACGGCACGAATCGCTATCATAGTCTTTAATCCCCAACCTCGTTGATCACCAGTCCAGAAAGGTCGTTGAGGAGGATAAAGACGTTTTGTAAAACGTTGATTACGACAAGCATCACCATTTGGGCATATACTAGGTAAACATTCATAGTGCAATTCACGATTAATACAGTTACTAGATGGTCCACAAGGGTCTTCTGAATTTGGTTTACATTCACAACGAGGAGCTTCACTTGAATCTGTAAGACGATAAACTCGAACGGAACCAAGTGGCCAATTTACCTACATAAGAAGCAATCATAAAACGAAGAGTAACAGTCAAATATATATATATGCCATTTGGAAATAACAATTTATATTGAATTCAGTTGACAATAAACACATTGAATGAAACTAACTATGCACAAAAAAACACGAAATAATTATTTTGATATCAAAATTAACGTTGAATATGTACTGAATGCTGAATGTTTTGGTTTAATTTTACGAGTGTCATATTTTCTGTTCCACTGTTATTCCTTTGTTCACTAACAACTACTTACTTACGCCTGTTACTACCGATGGAGTATAGGCCGCCGACCAGTATTCTCCAACCCACTCTGTCCTGGACCTTCCTTTCCAGTTCTATCCAACTGTTGTTCACTCTTCTCATGTCTGTCTGTTTCTCGGTGTAATGTGTTCTTCTGTCTTCATCTCCTCCTTTGGCCTTGAAGATTCCAAGTGACGGATTGTCTTGTGATGCAGTTGAATGCCTTCCTTAATATGTGTCCTATCCACTTCCAGCACTTCTTCCTGATTTCTCCCTCCCCTTAGATCTGGTTTGTTCTCTCCCACAGTAGGTTGTTGCTGATAGTGTCCGGCCAACGAATCCGTAGTATTTTGCGTAGACAGCTATTAATAAACACTTGTATCTTCTGGATGATGAATTTCGTAGTTCTCCAAGTTTCCGCCCCATACAGTAGAACTATCTTGACATTTGTATTGAAAATTCTGACCTTGGTGTTGTTTGACAGTTGTTTTGAGTTCCAGATGTTCTTCAATTGTAGATATGTTGCTCTTGCTTTGCCAATCCGTGCCTTCATATCGGCATCAGATCCGCCGTGCTCATCAGTGATGCTGCCCAGATATGTAAAGGCTTATACATCTTCCAAATCTCCGTCAAGTGTGATTTGACTGGTGCATTTTGTGTAGTATCGGAAAATCTTGACTTTCCCTGTGTGTATGTTGAGACCTGCTGCTGCTACACTGGTCGTTTTCTGTTGCATTTGTTGTTGCGTGTGCGATAGAAGAGCCAGATCAGTGAAACACATTGGACGCAGGTTGGACAACAACAACTAACTTTAGAAGAGCTTCTGTTATACTCCGGTCATGAAGAAGAAAATACTCTTAACCAGAAAAAAAAAGCTAACCATTAACGACTATCTCCATGAAATATTGATACTACATGGAGAAAAGTTTCACTGTATTTGAGTTATGCTATAACTGATTAAAAATAATCTAGAAAGTTTATGAGGATCAGCAAAATTCTCATTAATCAATGTTGAATTCCAACTTATAAGTTATTAATATATTTCGTGTTATTTTCCTTGTTTTCATACTAAATATACAATGTTTGTTCCTTTGAAATATCTTGAGATTTGTTATTTTTCAGTTGATTTTACAATAAGAGCTGTCATTTTTGGAAGGATGTCGATCTATTAATTAGTTAAATGGTTTTGATAACCTATACACCAACCTCCAATCGGAATAAATAACATTTTATGGGATTTCAGTTCTGATGTTTTTGTGCGTCACCTTAATTGGCCAACATAACACTGGATATATTCTACGATTCGCTAATAATAATATTGTTATAATACATACCTTTATTGGTTTATAATAATCTGGACGTCGTGTTCTACCCAGAAGTTCAGAGAATTTTTCATGTCTTTTGAGATAACCACGAGCAGCCTGCTTTAATGCAGCATTGTATATAAATTTTTTACGTCTAACTACAGACGGTGGTGTACGTGGATTTGGTGTTGAATTGACAGAATTTTCATCATTCAAACAGTTATTTGCACGAGGTCTTAAGCATAAATTACGAGATAAACGACTGGATGACTTGTAAATTGATCCAGTGGGAGATTCCATTGGATTACTATTTTCATTACAACTTGTATTAATACCTTTACTACTATTATTATTGCTTTCTTCAATAAGTAAATTGCTTGAATTTAATTCCAACAAAGGATCTTCATCTTCTCCATCATCATCGTCACAGTCATTATGACGACGGTTACGATTGGCACGCTGTTTTGTGTGGTATTTTTTATGAGCAACATCCCCTTCTCTTTCTGGTTCCGTAGAGTCATCATCATCAGAGCTTCAAATTGAGAATAAAAACGAGAACACTTGAAAGAATATTGAACGAACCTGTCAGATTTAGCGTAGAAGCTATTGGATAAATGCACGAAATCCGGTTACATATACGGTTAAATAGCACTTTTACATTAAAGCTGATGCAACTTCCTGACAAAAACTCCTACTCTAATCTCACAACCCTATTTGGACCCTATTAAGTGGTCGGAGCTTTTCAGGGTCACCTAAAGGTCGTCAATAAATTATCGTCTCACCAAAAATGTAGTTAGAAATTCTGAAAACTTTTAAAAATCACTATGTATCTGATAAGATAGTAGTCAATAACAATTTACAAGATACTATTATGAATATATTAAACAGTAAATCATTAATATGTCGCAAGAATATCGAGGCTAAAAAGAAACTATGAATTAGATTTTCATAATTAGATGAGAATTTCATTCCATATCATCAAAGCCCCATCATTAAAACTCCTGATCATAATGCGATTTCAACGCTTTTCCGGTATAACAGTTTACCTTCAAGTAAGTAAATTACTAGTAAGTTTACTAACGAATGACTTCGAGCGATAATTCCCGACGTTCCAGTGAGATGTCGTAACTATTGAAATCCAATTATTTCGGGAATGAGTTATTTATCTACTTATAACATTGGATGATGATAGCGCGATTTCGTCAATTGACTGAGGTAAGCAACGCATGTTACTGTACGCCACTTCAATGACACACAGGGTAAATGCTCATCGCAAAAATTGAAGGTCTTGGGTACGATCTTGTCATACTCGAACGAAGAATAAATTAAGGTTAACTTCTATGAGTTGTTAATGGACCATTATTACATATATTCTTATTCCCTTTATCATAAACCTTCATTTGACCTAATAACTACTGTTTTACGATTTTCCATTCTTAAGTTGTTCCCAATCTATTAGTTACAGTCTCACACAGCCACTTTCAGCCTGATCTTGTATAATTAATATTTTTCATTTCGTGATATGATGTGGTCTAGCCTGCTTGTATATAAATCACGTATGTCTAAAATATACGATTCATACAGTGGAGGTGGATATTGTGTTCTGGACTCAATGGGCAGGGCTAAGCGAGTTAACTTAAGGCTGCTAGTGCTGGTTGACGTGTAATTGGTTTATCATGGAGACAAGGCCATGGAGATTGGTATTCTGAGTGGCAATTTTGTGACGTGATATTTAACGGATTATAAAACATAACAGATCCCTCGCCAGTTTGTGGATGCGCACTACTGAGGAGTCATATGTTAGGATGAAACAGCTCTGTAATGCTTCCTGATTTTCAATGACTGTCTAACATAGTCAGTCTGTAATATGAAACTTAAAATTCAAAAATCTTCACAATATATTATATTAACAACTCGTAGAGCAATTAAACACAAATAGTCGAAGAAAAAGGAGATGACTGAAGATCGAAATACTAGCTTATTGTATACCCACCTACTCAGTAAACCTACGTTTGTTCATCTAGGATTGAAGTTCAAGATTTTGAACTTGATTTTCGAAAGTAGTGAAAATGAGGCTTTGATAAGACCTTTCTTTACTTATCACTTCTTCAATTTCAGCCATTAACTCAAATAATGATAATTTATTATTACCATTATTTGAAACACAGGTTTGGTGCACTATTGATATTAAGAGATGAGCTGCTTAAGAAAATAAAACAACAATCATATGAGATGTATATTTAAAAAGCGAAAAACGGATGAATGATCAGAAAGATAATTGGTATATAACATATACTTCAAACCTAGGCACTACTTTCCATTTTCAGTGAAAAAAGAGAAGAAAACTACAACACAATTGTCACATTTAGGATGCTGAGATAAGTTCACAAGTGTTGAATATATAGCGACTATCTTTTGTGCTAATATGTCATCATTATAAATAAAAATGAACTGAACTGATTAAATATCTAGAAAAAATGTTAGAATTATTCCATTATTATCAGAATAATTCTCATAAGGTTTTAGAAGTGTAAAATTACTAATCAACTTACCTAGTACTGTGAGCTCCACGTTTATCATCACCTTCTTCATATGGAAATAATCTAGCACGTGTAGTCCATAAGTAAACAGGACGTGAATGTCGATGAGACAGGCGACCAGTTAAACCAAATAATCGAACAAGCACTGAACCAAGTATATGGTTAAATGAATGTGATGTTGGGCTAGTTGTTGGTTGAAAATTAATTGTAACAGCTTTATTTTCAGATTGTACATGACATTGAGTTGTTTGTAAATGTCTTGGATGTACCAATTCTCCTGGCCACCAATACATACCAGCAGTAAGTGACGCATAATCATTAGGACGGATTGTTCCTGACAAATTAAACGGAGATAGACGATGTGAATTATATGCACCAGACAATTTTAAAGAGCGCTGATGATAGAGCTGCAAACTTGGTGGTAAACGAGCCCATACAATCTCGCCGTAACGTAACATGCGCCCATTTGTACAGTCTTCACAGATAAATTTATCAGGGACCTAAACATATTGAAAAGATCTTATCTTTCAGTTATATTATGTTTAAGGAGTCATTGAATAGAATAATTTGATAAGAAGCGCATAGCTTCGTTAGGTTACACAGTTAACAACCATTAAAATAGGGTTTAAACTCACTCAATTTGGATGAAATGTACAATATATGAAACATGACATTTATATGATTATTAAGATTGCTTAACTATTAACAAATACCTAGTCTATTTTGCATAAATAGATATAGTATTAGGTTAAACATGTTGATAAGGTATTAAGGCTAGAGTCTAAATTCTGGTTCAAGTGAATCATAACTATGCTTCAATGACTTGGGAACAGGCAGGACGGACAAAGCCACATATATACCATTATTTGTCTTTGCTCTGAAACAAAGCTAACTGTATTTCAAAATACGTGTCTAACCAAAACACAGAACGTTGAACCTGATATGAAATGTATCCATTTCACTGATCGCATCTCGAGAAGATACGGACAAAGTAATCCGCGTGGGGTCGGGATGCTCATTGTTGAGGAGTCACATACTAGGACTAAACGACCGTCCAGTGCTTCCAGGTTTTTAATCGTGATTTAGTGTTGATCGGTTTATGATCTCAATAAAAATTTAAACTAATATTTACAAAAATTACCAACAAAATCATGAATGGAAGTAAATTCAGAATGTAGTCAGGACGACAGAGAATTTATCTGCTTACGATATACCAACGGTCGAACCCAGCCTGGTTTCCGATAGTTTTCCAGCTAATATGTAGTAAAGATAATCCTAAAAAGATATACAAACCTCTTTATAAATCGTCCGGTCAATTTATAATTGCGTATTCCATTGGGGACTTCTCGAATTTCTAGTGGAATGTGGTGGTACTTATTTTATCGACCAAGTAGACAGTCGAAGACTATAGTTTATAGATGAGACTGGTTGAAAACTACACCACTTAACGTATTAATCTGGATAGAAAATATACACCACTCATTCAGGTATCTAAAAGTACAGTGTTCACTATAAGACCTAGTTTTAGGCTTAATCTTATGCTTGTAGTGTCGGTTGCTATGCCAGCCCATATAGGTTATTCTAACTTCCGCACAAGACAATTTATTTATCCTTCTTGATTGGCATTTTGACCTTGTTAATTATTCGCTTGTCAACCTTGACTGTTTTTATATTAGCGTATGTGTGTGCACTCCTTATCTTATTCATCAAATGTCTGTAATTTATTTTTATTTGACTATAAATATTGATTAACGCTTGATTAAATAGAACTGGCTCACATGCCTTCACTGTGCGTTATTTCGCATCGTTCCTTTGATCGTCTGTCTAGATCAATAGGTGTACAAATTACACGCATTCAAAAATCCATTCTCGTACTTGGCTTATTTAATTCCGTTATTAACTAACGCCGATTAAGTTGGTAATTATATACGAGGATTGGCGACATATATATTTCGACAGCAATCATTCGTACGATCTAAATGCAGCCAGATTTAGGGCCACAAAATGCAGTGGGTTCTTGGATATGTACTATTGAGGAGTTCAAAATAAGGGCGAAATAGCCATTCACTAGTTTTTCCAATTATTTGTCAGACAATCTTACTTTGTAACTAAAACCATTTTAAAATTGCTCAGTTTAAATAAACAGTGAACTTACAAGTTAACCAATGTGCTTTTAGAGAGTTCTATTTGATAAATCTATAAATTTATCTACAGAGAACAGTTGCTAACATCATTGTGTTCAGAAAATTTATTGTAGTCTAAGTAAGCAAATCACTGGAATAACTATAAGATCAACGAAACTATGTGGGCATCATAGGATGCAAAATTAAACAATACTATGTCAATATACCCAAGTTTTTATAATTAACATCAATTAGTTATTCGGTCATCAATAATATAGTACTTGGTATATATGTACATCGGTCCAAGTGGCCAAACAACATACAGGGAGATGAAATCACCAAGAGTAGTGCCAAAGCATTAAAAGTATAAACAATATCAGTGGTATTGGGAACGATTAAATGTAGAAAATATGATTCGAGGAGAGTTCGTGGAACTGAAAAGTATATAACACAGCTGAAACCCAAGATTAAAAAGTATATAAAGAGTGAACTTGTCTGTTCTATTGTAACCTGTTCTGATCCATGATACCTAGCGTCTTCAATCACTAGTTACGATAATCGCCCTGACACCAAGCAGGTAGTGTGCATATAACTATACGGTTCAACAACCAATGATTATATGGAATGACTCCACATTACTATGATGAGAGGAAATCAACACACGACAATAAAGACGAAAAGAATTACAAAATATCTACCTCGTCAATTTTAAGACATTCTTCATGAAATGAAGCTGGACAATTTTCACAACAAATAATACGTCCACCTTTAGAACAGATAAAGCACCACGATACGTTAGTTGGTCGAAACATATTCAACAGCCCTGATGATGGTAATTTAAGTTGGATATTCGGAGGTGAAGTATACAATTTGCATTCATCTTGTAATGCATGCCGTGGACAGATTATTAAATTAGGAGCAATCTATGTCAAATGAAGGAAAATATTGTAACCGTAATATCAACAAAGAGAAATGTAAAACATTTTTATAATTTGAAAAAAATGTATATGTGATCTATAAGTTCAACAGTTATCAAACTGGAGTAATTAATGAAAAAAATATAATCGAGTAATTCGATGAAATAACACACAGGAAAACATGTTAGTTACCTGTCGTTAACAATTCTTAAAAAAACTTCCAGATTTCTCATGCATTGGGACATATGCATTCCCACGATTGTTATACCTGAACAAACAAAACTAAGAGCAGTATTTCCTCCTTGTAATATGTAAGATAATGTGGTGGTGTAGTTGACTATCTATAAATACGTGGGTATTTCAGATGAGAAAAAGTACTATTACGTCATAAGTCTATTATTTCAGTAAATCACTGCAGACTATGAACAGTGTGTAAGTATCATTAACAAGACTTGATTTGACTATTTCAAATCAATTGAGCATTGGGTATACATTTGTAATACTCCAATGAGTAGAGCGACTAAATTTTCAGATTCTCTGACGCTTTTTGACTTAGTGTGTCACTTCTTCAGAGAATTCCGACACTTCTCAACTATCTCCATCTTCGATAAGCAAGTATTACATTCAGATACACACACCCAACAATTATGAATGATAATTAGGTTTGATTTTTCACAATAACTCAACTAACGTATAGCATACATGAGAAAATTGCTTGAATGAAACGTTTAATATGATGTTATTTCCATTATTATTAAACAAGAATGTCAGTTAGAATTAACAATACACCTATCAGTTGTTATTACAGTCAGTGGAACTATTAAAAATAATAGTGGTCGCGATTGATTCAGTTCAGACATATTTGGACAAACTGAGGAGTGGGATTATCCGGCTGGTCAGGATTGTGAAATATATATATTTACTGCTGATTAGTAATTGAATAACTGTATATATTATTTCATGAATGAAGTCAAAATAAGATTTGATAAACATTAGTATCTTTTTGAAGCCTAGCCGACGAAGTGCTGAATCAATGATCTAAAACCCAGTGGTTCGTATCTAGTTCAATTTTAGATTTTCTTACCATCCAAAACTTCTTAGTTTCTCGTATACAATACATTTGATGAGGATGTATATAAATTCATATTGTGACTTAGCTGTAAATATTTCGAACTAAATGTCGTAAATGTTTATATAGACCCGTTCTATTCTTTCAATAAGTCTATTCAGTGGTCATATATTGATTAGTAAATCCAACTATCATACCATTACTATTATATATATATATATATATATATATATATATATATATATATATATATTATATATAATATATATTATTCATTACATAGATGGATTAATAGCATGTGCCGAAATAAATGTTAAGGTTACAGAAATCCCACTTTACTATCTATCAGAATGAATTTGACAATTAAAAAGAAAATATGTAATCACATGAAACGACAGTCTGTCTATAATCATTTCTAAAAGATAAGACATCGCATTGAGTAAAATGACAGCGGATTTTTGCAGCAAACTCATGCACCATAAATACTTGAAATGATTCCTCTTTTTAGGAAAGTAAACAAATAAAGTTAAATTCTTTGCGAATATTCATTAGCTCAATAAACAAGTGAACAGAGAAATATTAAAAGAGCAAGAAAATTATTTGAATACACTATACACTCAAATTATACTGATAAAAAATAATACTAACTTCTTTACTGCCAGCTGGTAAACACCAGTCTCCTGGATGATAAGCAGCAGGACACATAACACAACGAATGAAATGAGGAGAAGGTCGTGGCATAGTGCCAGGTGTTTCAGCTGAACAAGCTAAGCAAGTATGTGCAGGACAAGTGAATGAGCCAGAACGTCCTTCTCGGACTACAACAGCAAAAGGTGGTTTACGAAGACAACTAGGGTGATACCATCGTCGACAAGCTCGTACTGAACAACGTATCATTTGATCACCACTTCGAGGTAATTCAGATTTACTTGGTTCTGATATTAATTGGATATCTTTCTGATGTGAATTATTATCAGTAACACCATCTTCAATTTTTATATTTACTTCAGAGATATTTTTATCAACAACAGATGAATCTGAAATTGCATGATCCACAGAAGGAGTTTCTGAACAACTGGATCCTTGAAGTGTTAATAGATGAGGATCTGGATGGGTAAGCTAAAATAAATACCAATAAAAACCCAAGTTTATAAAAGCAAAGGTGTAGGACAACTATATATATCAAACTTATGAGTAGTGCTTTGTTCATATTCTATGATAACAAATGTATAGTAAAAAATTAATGTCTGTTAAACCCTGTACTTAGATGGTTAGACACAGAACTGCAAACTGCTTCCTGGTTGCCAGAAATTCCTTAAACTCTGAATAGGACAGATAACATGCAGGGAGTATGAAAAGGAGATTTACTTTCATCTGGTATTCACATGATGCACGTATTTGTTGTGCAAATAGCTTTAATTGCAAGTCGTGATAAACTAATTTAGGCAGCAAGTTAATAGTTATTGATACGTATTCTGAGACTATGTACAATAGAGAGAAATTGAAAAGCAAGACGCATGAACAAGTGCTATAATAATGTTATGGAACATAAAACATCATCTACATGTTTTTTCATTGATAGTATGACTAGATTATTAAATCATGTTTCTTTTATGAACAGGTTATACAAATGACTCATTTAATTGCATTGTAAAATCAAAATCTGTTAGTCTAACAGATGTCATGGAAGATAACAAGTATGTATATGTAAGTAATGATGTATGTGACAGTCATTTAGTGATCAAAGCACTATAATTTAAACCATTAGGCTGAAGATTTAAACCTCGCAGCATCTACTTTGAATTGAACGACATTGTAATATCACTGGCCTCCATAATGAAAGCATGACCCAATGTTCAGGAAATAAACATGTACTTGGTGAATGAGTTAGATTAATGGTGTAAGCTAACAAAAATACAATAATAACTCGAAAAGAAAACAGTTAGTGAATATAATCTACACATACGGAAATTTCAATACTTTAATTGCTGTACTAGAAAATTAAATTAACATAAATTTTTTATCGGGTAACTGAATAGTAATAATAATAATAATAATAATAATAATAATAATAATAATAATAATAATAATAATAATAATAATAATAATAATAATAATAATAGTAATAATAATAATAACTTACATAGCAAATAAAACACTGTCTTAATCCAGCTAAACAGAGATTACAAACTGGGTTAGGTTGTAGTGAATCATTATTTATTACAGATGTTACTGTTAGATCTTTTGTCATTGAACATTTAATATCTCTCATATTATTATTCATTGTTGTTATTACTTGATGATTACTATCATCTGTACCATTATGATCGGGGATTTTTTGTTTTATACTTCTATAAAATATATATGGAGCACAATTTAAATGTAAATAATTTCCACAATAACCAACACATGGCATAATTACACTATCTAATTTATCAAGATGTTGCTGTGATACTTGATTACAATTTTTCTGTAAATCTAACTGTGTTGTATGTGCTACATCGGATAAAATTGGTTGTGCAGTGTTTACTGTTGAATGACTGTTGGTTGTTGTTACTGAGGTGTTATTATTGAACTCACCGCAAACACTACACATAAAATGATGTTTTGGTGTTGTATGACCAAAACGCAATTTTTCAAATTCAAAACTATTCGCTAAATCTATCCAACGTTGACCAGTTTTTTCATTCTAATATGAAAATAGATATCAAAAAAAGAATTACAAGAAAGCAGTGAGTGACAGTTTGAAGATCTTTATGTAGAATTCAGACAGTTGTTTACTGCATACAGTTGACAAACTGAAAAATCATAATCAGGAATTAAAGTAGAGCCAATGACAAAGCAAATAAAAAAGACGCTTTTCTAATATTAGAAATTCTGTCGAGCGATGCTGTGAAAAATTTTAAGTTTTAAAATATAAAGATCAAAGCTTGAAAGTGATTAACGTTCAATGAGAACTATGTGTCTATAGAAGAAGAAGAGTCAAGTTATAATTAAATACTTATCAGACCGATTTTTTTAATTAATGCGCAAATCAGGCCCTGTAAGCAGTTAGTTACTATTCCATACCATAGTATGATTTTCTATCATCATCTGATCAGCACTTGATTCAACAGTACTTAGAACAAAACAAACATTAACTTATGACACAATTGAGTGCTCGCTTTCTTCAAATGAATGTTTGATAAATATCTATATTCAACTGTTAACAGCGTAACTGATCAAAATATATTAAACTTTATTAGACCTTGAAGAGATCTCTAAATTTATTCAAACCCCAAACATAATTTAGTCTCGAAATCATATCTATCACTTAAAGTGCATTTACTACATATTTGTAATATGTTTACGCTATTGTTGACCTGAACACAAAAGATTCCCATGAAATTAATCATGAGATTAAATCTAACATTGAAACATACATAAAAGATGTGTTCAGTTGAAGTAATCTATTATGTGCCAGTGAGTGCGCACAGACATACTCTAACGCGTTATATACATGTAATAAACTGCTTCTTCACTAGTTACCATTTTATATAGTACCAACAAACGCTGCTATTATAGATATTTTGTTCTCGACCTCCAGTATGTGTGCTTGCCTTGATTTAGTTCGACACCAATTTGTAGCAGTAGTAAAGTTACAATAGATGACAATAACACATTATACTTTGTACTGGTTTTTAATTGAATAAATAAATTTCTCTTTCAGTTATTATCAAAAAACACATGCACTATCCAACATAAACATAAATACTGAACAAAGACAAAGCAAAATTCTTTATAGAAATCGATACGATTTGGAAAAAAAGAAGGTAAAATTGAATGAAGCAAACAAACATCGGTAAAAATCTAACCTTTGAACTATCATTTGATAATTTCAACCGTTTTCTATGACCTATGGAACTAGTTGATGTAGAAGAAGAAATATACGAACTGGGACGATGATGCTTTCCTTTAGAATCTATATCACTGTCAGATGCTACAGAGGTGGCTGAGTCATCTGATGATGACGACAAAAATGACCCACCTTCACTGGCCTCATCTCGGTATGGACGTTTACGTGATTTAGCTGATTAAAATTCAGCAAGAAAGTAAACAAAATAGAAAATAAACATTAATTCTTCCTAAAAATTAATTTGTAAACAAATCCGAAGAAAAGTAAATTGAATTTAAGGATTTAATGAATTGAATATGACACGATCTCACGTAACGTAATCAAATTACCAAGTACATATATATTTATAGGATCAGTTTTGAGTAACATGGTTTTGTATGAAGGCCACAGGTATTAAACGAATAAATAAACTGCATTCAGAAGTTCATGATTCAAATCTACAACCTTTATTTGTTGAAAACCGAATGCGGTACACAAGAAATCATAATGCTTTATGCAATAGTATTTATTTACAACTAGCAATAAATAGTTATAATTTTATTCTATTATGCGAAACAAATGAATAATATATTAACAAAACATTTATTACAATAAATAATTGTTATCAATGTCAGCTATGTTATTTCACTTGGTTTGCATTATGATACTAAATAAAATTACCAATTTTGTATTCTAATATCTTTTAACAAAAAGCTTATTGAGTAATTTAAGTTGGCGGACGTAAATAATAAAACTTGTAAACGTTACAAGTACAAAATGCTGTGTAGATTAGACGAAAAAGAAGTCAACAATTAAACGTAGGATATACTTATAAAGTATTTTGACTTGTTGATGGCTTCAAATATATTTTTTCTAAACACTGAATCACTATGATTACCCATGTTGGCGTAAACGAATTATATAGAATAAACTAGAAACTATGCTAATCGTCTCACAATATAATAGTTAGTTAATTGTCAATTTATGTACCAAAGAACAATCATATATATGGTAGTTTTACCTGGAGTGTTTAGCAAACCACACCTCAATAAATACGAGACAATGAACTCCACTAAAGAAACTTTAATAAATACTGTATAAAAACCAAGTAATGACCAAAGAGATTAAAATGTCATTTAAAAAAGCTTACAGTATAAGGTGAACTTTCCGGTATTTTTTCTAACAAATTCTGAAAGTGGATCCAGTTTACGAAATGAAGGCTCGGTTGCCCATGGAAACAGTGCTAATCGGTCAGTTGGCGCTGGTTTAGTCAATTTAGCTGCCACTGCAGCCTCTCTAGCACGATGCCAAGCTGACTGTAAACTTGGGTGAACAGTAAATTGACGTAATGCCTAAAGTACATAAGTAATGAATCAATTAATAAAAAATTTACCTAAATTTTATAGACCAAAAAGTCAGTTTATATGGGACTTGTTTAACTAGTAACAAACTATTATTTGATGACTTAAAAGAAATAGTCGATACCCTTAACACTAGTTTGAAATTCTACAAAACATTTTTAGGATGGAAAGACGAGTAAAACTAATCAACCAACATTAGCTGAAGTAATGTTACAAATATGTGACAAGCCGATGACTCACATCAACTTGAAATATTCGTTAACTAATTGAAACGACATGAAAAGTTTTGAGTACATCTATATGCTCTGGTAAAGCCGAGGGTGGGTGAAGTTCGCTCGCCCTCTCAAAATCCTCTCATAACGATACACGTTTATAGCCTCTTCCAGGGAGTACTCACCTACTCATATGTTGCGAGGGTGCTCCTTATGAAAGTGAGAGAACGAAAAGCGAATATCCGACATTGAAACAGAGATGGTGGGTACGAGGGGCCCACCAGCGGAAGCCAGAGAACCCTAATTCCATAGGCTTCAAGATTCTGAAGGGTCAAAAGACATACGAACATGATTTTTGACCATTGGTTACCTTGTGAAGGCAGCTCCTGAAGTTTCTCTATTACCTTGTGGAATCCCCATTTAGGTTAAAGGTGCGCGAAGTGGCCTCCAAAGGATACCAACTGCTTCAGTTTGGACAGTATCCCAACCCACATACAAATTATATCTTATTTTCAGCAAGCTACTTTTGTTGGCCAGTTATATCAGATTTTAGGTGGATTAAATAGGTAGAAGATAAACACTCGTTGGTAGTTGATTACTAAGCTGTAACCACTTGGTTTCAATTAGAAATAAGAAAGTAATTCAACTATTTGAGAAGTAAAAAAACCGAGAAGAAAACAATTAGATATTTTCACTTACCCGAACTTTATCTTTTGCTTCTAAAACAGTTTGACGGAGAAACGATTCGAATTCTTCTCGACCAGAAAATAATCGTAAACGAGTTTGTGGGAGTGTTAGAAAAGACAACGGTCGAATAATACCCAAGAGGCAAACTCGAAATGTAGGCACTGTTTCATCGTTTGTAGACTTCAAACCTATAGGATGGTTTTTTTTAAAAAAGACATTTACATTATTGTTATTTGGTTTTACTATAATAGAGGCAGTATTTACTTTATGTAAACTGTCAGTAATATCCACAACCACTTATTTATATAAACACATAAACAATTGTACAAACGGACACTAAAATATATATGCGTCGCACAAAGTAGTTATCATTCAATTTGTGTGTGGCCTGGAGTGCTGTCTAGTTACCTAAACTGAAACAGGTGGTTTTCTTATGTGGTCAACTCCATCGAGCATTTGACCGAGAGGTCTAATCCATAGAGTGGTGGAGCAACATTAGAAGGTTCAGTCCTATGCTAGCCGGTGACCAACAATAGGTTGATGCGCCATTTGTTCACTCAAGATCTCGGAGTCCAAGTATACCACTGGTTCGCAATCAGAGTTTTCCGACTCCCTTAGATGGATCCTTCGTAGCCACTAACCAGACATTCGCCTTTCGCCCTCCCAATTTCGTAAATAACAACCCCGTCGCCCGAAGGCACAACCACTAATATACGTAAACACAATAGGTCCACAGTTTTCTACCTACTTAAGCCAAACAGTAGAACATAATACATTTTTAACAAAATGTGTCACACTTAATAATCAAGAGAAAATCTTAAAGATCTTATTTCTCCATGCATAAAGAAAGAAACCTAAGAACTTGTCCATCATAATGAAATTAATAAACATGGTCAGATTTCGGTTAACAAAGTAGAAATAAAGTACTTAGTGATTTTATTAAAAATAATGGATTACTAAGATTAAGATTGTGCTTAGGATCTTAATTTAGTTCTCTTACTATTATATAAAAACTAGATAGGAGTGCATATTTCTATTTTATCAATCACTTTCTGCCATACATATTCTACTCTTTTGAAAACCGGAGTAAAGAAATAAAAATAAAAGGAAATTCAGTAACAGACTGATTCAGTCAGTCACAACGTAGAACCAAGCGCATATATGCATCGGTCCAAGTTGCCACACCTCATTAGCACAACAAGATGAACACGAAATTCATAGAATCAGTTACTTCAATGATAGTAATTTATAAAAGCAAAATTTTATATAAGGATATGATACAGGAAGAAAGAATTAGTTCGTAGAAATAAAGGTATAAAGTAATTTTAATCTCACGGTTTAAGGGAAGACAAACAGTGTATACACCTACGTCATTGTGATTGATTCTGAGCCATGTCACCCACAGTCTACAACCACCGGGTGCCCAAACCCGCTTCTACAATGCTTTCAGTTGGTCATGTACAACGTAAAGCCTGACACATACGTTGGTCCAAGTTACTACATGTCAGTACAGAAAAATGAAATTATCGAGAAAAGTGCCCGGTAGTACAAGCAGCATTAGTATCACTGATAATGGAAAGGATCAGGCATAGATAATATGATTTTTTTAAAAGAACGAATTCGCGGAAAAATTTCACCCTCAATCATCACTAACTTAAGCAATACCCAAGAAGGGCAATATATATATGGGGAATTAATAACCCATGAGTTAATCTTCTCTAGTCACATATGAAATCTTATGTTTATTTTGTGTTTATGTTCTTTATATAACTATGTCTTTATATGAGATAGAAAATCTATATTCTTTGGGTTAATGGTCATGTCTTTGGTTTCAAATCATTACTTGGTCATATCAAGTTATTGCGTTTATCTGTTGATTAGCATTCTATTCATTGATTTTAACAATCGAAATTTCGCTCATCATGAAAAGCCTCATTTGTAATACAAGTAAATATATGACGTCATGTTAAACCATGTTCTCTTCCATCAACTTCAACTAAAAATTAACTTACAGAGAATGTATGGAACAGGTGGAAGTTACGAATGTCATAAATAAATAATCAGAATTATTTCATCTCTGGGTGCAGAAGGTAATGACCAAAATTCTAAGAGTACTAGCGTTTATTATGGTTGATAGTAATATGATGTCCTCGTCTATGTCAAGCTTGTTAAGAAGCCCAGCTTCAAAATCAAATGCAGTCCCAATAAAACACTTCATATTGAGAAATCAAAACATTGATACCGATTACTTAAGATATACATCTAAGAAACATTAAATTTCCAAAATGTCTGCACGTATAAACTTACCAAAGCCCTTGGCTTGGTACTTTTTCGGTTTTTCAGTTACTATGGCTGGCCACCAAGGTAAGTTTTCGGGCCAATTAGGACGAGCCCAAACTAGCTCTCCAACTTGCCAAGGTTCTTGATTTAGTTGGACAGAGGTGGATTTAGATAACTGTGAATATATCATCTTGCGACTGACTGCTTTAGCTAGTAAGGCTTTCTTACGTGCTGTAGAAGTTAGACTGCTTCTGACAATGTGAGATTTGTTGAAATTTTGCTTCCACTGACTGCGACTTATAAAAATAGGTAATAAAAACAGAATACGTTTCGGGTGTAATTAACAAAGTTTGACTTGATTATTTAAAACAAACTGAGTATTGGATAGACTGTTATTAACAAAAATGATATATTATCAGAATGGGTTTTGTGGAGATTTTAGAAATTTCACAGATTGAAATCATGAGTCAGTTGAAGCTAGACCACCATTGAAAACCTGGAAGCACTAGACGGCCGTTTCATCCTAGTATGGGACTCCTCAGCGTGGTGCGGGATCATGGATGCGCACTGCTGAGGAGTCCCATACTAAGACGAAACGGCCGTCCAGTGCTTCCAGGTTTTCAATGGTGGTCTAGCTTCAACTGACTCATGATTTCAATCTGTGAAATTTCTAAAATCTCCACAAAACCCATTCTGATAATAATTAACTGCTCACTAGTGACTGACTTCAGGAAAAACTCCCGAAGTTCTAGTGAGAAGCCGTTACCAGTGGAGTTCAACCAGGTCTGTTGTGAGATCGGAACTCACTGAAGACAATGGTGTACGGTGGCGCAACTTCGTGGATTGGTTGAAGTTAGACATTAACACCGTTGGATGCCGGCTCAGTGGTCTAGTGGTTAAGTGCTCGCGCGCGAAGCCAGTAGGTCCTGGGTTCGAGCCCCGGGTGGTGCGGGATTGTGGATGCGCACTGCTGAGGAGTCCCATGTTAGGATGAAACGGCCGTTCAGTGCTTCCAGGTTTTTAATGGTGGTCTAGCTTCAACTGACTCATGATTTCAATCTGTGAAAAATGATATATATTTAAAATCCAAATGAGTAGCACAACAATTTTTTTTTAATTTCTGACGTTTTGTGGCTCAGTCCAAGCCACTTCTTTAGAAAATGAACAAACAAATTAAATTAACCCGTTTAAATAGTATAAATGAACAAAGCGAGAATATTTGGTGCGATCAATCAAAATCAGGTCTGACAAAGTCATGTCATTTCAATCAAGGTGGTTTATGTGAGGCAGGTTTGTGTAATTGTGTATGTATATATGTTAAAGGATCAAAGAATATGTTTTACTTACAGTTTGAAATTCTATCTTTTTTACTAGGAAATGATATTTGTCAAAAACATTTGCACTGAAATTAACCTCGAGGCGAAACTAGTTGTAATAAGATTGTAATTAGATAAGATATTCTGTGGTTGTTTGTTTGCGATCACATTACTAACAAAAAGCCTGACAAAATCTAGTCCCCACATAACTTGAAAAAGTTATCACACAGCCATTAATAACTTTTTTCAGGCGATTATGTGGGGGTAATGATGGCCCCTGGTTGCTCAATCCTCAGCATAGGGGGGAAAGGTTCCAATATATAATAAAGACAGGGTCTTGAGCTATAATAACTTGGTAAGACTGAGAGTGAATTCTGAGCTTTCTAACTTTACCTATCAGTATTCACTAGTAAATGTTACATGTAAACAAAAAAAATCGAGGGTATCAGGTAAATTGTGTTGTTACTGTGCACATCAGGTCGAAACAAAGTTGAATACGAATTCACTGTAGAATCTTACATTTTAGTGGGAAACTGCATATGCCGCATAAAAGTGAGTCTGACAGACTTTATATCTTCTTTCACTTCGTCAGCTCTGTTTACTTCTTCAGAGCTGCTGTCATGGCGAGAACGTAGGAAAGGTTGAGGTTTGTGTTCAGGTTCGTCGCTAAGACAATCTGAAGAAATAGATCGGTAGGAAAACGATGGACTCGTTGGAGGTGAAAATTTAGGACTATTTGATGACCACTTGATATTTTCTTGTTTCCAAAAGCCATTGACATTTGTAAGGAGTAAAGTTTCTTCAGGAGAATGAATAGAACTTTTCTCAAGCTCATCCAGAGAACGTACAGATTTGTATAAGTCGTCATCATGTTGTGGATTGAGACTGCAGAATTCGTTTGGATATGGATCTGGACTACGTTTTATTGATATTTCTTTGGTATGGAAATCTGGCAAAGGATCAAGTTTATAACATGAGGAACCGGTAGATATGTGTTCACTAACAATATTGTTTATGGGTTGCATATCTGAAAACTAAAAAATATAAGCCGTTAGTAGACTCAAAAGAAAAACAAGTTTACAGACGGATATCTTAGAAAACAACGTAACCACCAAATGCTGAAATGATTATTTCAAGAACAAGTGCTCACATATTAAGTCCTCGGCATTAAAAATGTGTACGACCACTAAATCTAAGTATAACACTTAAAAGTGGTCAACTTAATGTTTTGCTTGAAAACCAATACAAACGTCTAACAATGATTACGTATATATGGCCTTACAACCAGCTTATTTAAAAATAAGTACAGAAGGTAACAATATCACATTTGAAAACCACTAAACTAACAAATGAATTTTTGTTCTACCCAAAATTTCTTAGTCTTCCAAAGAAAAGGTTTAACTATTGACACCAAATGATCACCTATTCATAGACAATAAGATTTGTCACGAATATGTACCAGTAGAAATCATGCCTCATATTAGCACAGAAAAAGCTGATCATATGAAAATAATATCAGTTGCAATGATAAGCATTAAAAATGAGGAATATAGTTCAAAATAAATGAGACTAAAAAATTAAAAATTATGTAACGGTGTTAAGATTTACAGAGATACAAAGAATGGGTTCAATTGCAACCAACCTAGGAGATTTTCACCTAACATCACTTAACACAAACAAGCTATTGTGAAACCCCCAGTAAGGAAGTTTACATCTCCCCATACATCTAAGACCAACAGGCGGCGGAGCTACGAACTGATATCACATCTTAAAGTGGGACTCATTACCTTTCTTCAACCAACTCGTATGCTAGATAACAAAGGGGATCGAAGTAAATGGTGGCTTAGTGTTCATATCGTGCAGGCTTACAGCCTTGTAGATTGAGTTCCCGTTTCTACCTAAAATCCACGTATGACATAAACAGAACACAGTCGATGGTTCCATCAAACATAAACAGCAAGTTGGTTTCAAGTACCACATTTTAAAGACTGCTTATCTAGGGTAATGAAAGAACAGAAGCAAACATTACTATATGAAACTAATAACTTCTGGGAAACAGGCTTGTAACAAGCACATAAACGATTAAATTACACGTCGTTACATGTAGTTACGAAATACCCAGCTAGATATAAAGTCGAGACTCAAAATCGATCTATGAATAGGCTAAAATCACTAGTCCTTCATGATTAACGCAGAACCTACCACAAATATACACTAGCCCGTTTCAATGACGAGTTAGTAAGATACATACCAAAGAGTTGAAATATTTGTACGACTAATGATAGTGAGAAAGACCAAACACTGAGAACATGACTTAAAAAGATGTTTGAAGAAATAGGGTGACTCAAGGAAACTCTTAACGCGCTGCAACGTTAGCACGAGCGAACTGCAAAATCCCTTGAATTGTTTCTGGATAAATGCAGTCCTGAAGATAGTAAAACCATTAATGACTCAAATGGGAAGTGCATAAAAACGTTAGTTTATTAAGGATGCACTACAATCGATATGATAGTGACTCTGCAAGTAATTTGAGCTTTGTTCTTCGCTTACGGTGCTTACAGCTAGAAGCACAAAATTATATAGGTTACAACAACTTTAATGCAATTTTTTCAAGCAATAGGCTTCGATGAGCGCATAGAACTTGATCAATGAACAAGTCTTTTACTAGTAAAACCAATGGTTCCATAGCTGAAAGCTTAGTACGTGAAACATCTAATAACCGATACGTTAGTGGGTTCAATATAGAATCGACGTCTATACAATGAGAATCCTGGAGAAAAGTCCGATTAAATGTTGCTGTCATTCGAATGAAAACCCTAACTCAATTATACGGACAAATGTGATAAAGAGTATACTTTCACGTTACCACGACAAATTAATGCAATTAAAGTGAAGATCGAAAGAACCTGACAAACTACTACCAAAAAATTCAAACATTATAATTCATACTCATTATCATAGTTAACTGAGGTCTGTTACAGCATGAGTGACACGTCTAAATAGCACCGTTGAATCAGTTTCCATAATTTCGAAAATCACTTCATATGAGCACATAACTATCCAAGAATGTTGTCATGATTGATGTTTAATAACTGAATCTTCAGACATATTTAAAATTAGCTTTTGAGATATTTTTAGCTTCCCCATCTAAACAACTTATCTTTTACTTCGTGAAAGGTCGAAACTGCTGATTAACGAAGTGTAAGTTCCTTACTAACAAATCCTTTGATACATTATGGACTTCAAAATATCAGGTAATACACAAACCAGATAGATAAAATGGAAATCTGGACCAAAGTTCTTTGCTTAAAGCAATCTCAAACATTGTTTAGAAACTGAATAGCAAATTACATTTCAGCAATATATAGTTTACTAAATACTCATCCAAATTGAAAGCAAACGAGCAAACCAAAACAACGTGGCGATTTAGAGAACTTTATTTAATTATATCATATTTTCGGAAGTTTTCAATCCAAATTCGCAGAGATTTCAGGTACAACGAAGGCTTTTCCCTGTTTTTGGAACTCAGCTCTAACAAAAAGTGACAAATTTTATCATGAATACCTTAAATGATGAGTAAACTCATCATCCACAATATCATCATCCCAGTTGTCTTCCCAGACAGTAGCTTCTTCGTTAGGATGGCCTTCTACGCAAGCTACAGTGATTTTGAAAATGATTATTTACATGTAGTTACCATGAGCTGGAAACTCCTCGAAGTCGTCGTCTTCCTCCAAAAGTGCAATGTCTATCTTTTCGACTGGCTTTTGGTTTTTCTTTTCAGAACTATCCTCAACTTTAGATTTCCCTTTTATCTCACCGACGGTCATTTTATTCTGGTGACGCTACGCTTTAGAATAACCACACTTAGTAGGCAATCTCAAGGTCAGGGATATAAATTCTGAATTTACCCTTCATGTACTTCGTATGAAGACAGTCTTTTAAAGATCAATGTTGCTGGCCCGCTCATAATTTTTTATGTTCAGTTTTACAGCCGTATGTATGTGGAACTACGAGCAAAAGTGATAATACAGAATTGGTAGATTTGATTTGAAATGGTAAAAGTGATAGACTGATAGAGTGAAAGTTCTGATAAAGTCTTGCAGTGACAGTATATTCCAACAAATGCAGTTTCATAATAAATTTCGGCTTTAAAAGTCACTTGACACTATGTGTATTGGTCTATGCCAACGTTAAATTACTTGTATTTGAGTAGACAACAAAATCATAAGGCAAGCCACTGATTAATGAAATGTAATCTTTTCTGAAGTCCTCACAGGTAATTGTGACCTACAGTACGAGTAAATGTTTTTAATTAAATCCGCTCATTCCATTAAATCTACTATGTACGCGATTTATCTGTATATATGCCTTTATTTGCTAACCTGACCATTGCCTGCCCATCCAAAATATATAAACTGAGACGATAATTTATTCTAAGAGATGTTCATTGTACCAAAATTTATGTTGCATTATTTTATTCATTTTCCTGGCCAGTCTACAAAGACATATGTTTGTAACGTAGTATTTCTAAAACATTTCGCATTAATCTTTTAATACTGTATTTTATAGGCGTGATCATCCAAAAGATATATAAGAAATCAAACTGGGATAGATATATTTCATAGGATTAGTAATTTGTAGAGTTAGACTAGCTATTACATCCATCTTAAATATTCACCTCTCAGGCGTCACATAAACGTTTCAAGACAATAAGAGGGCTGCTTTGGAATTTCATTATCAGAATAGGACATCTTAACTATTCACATGTGCTGGATGATTTTTGTGTAAGATCCAAATGAATAATTGCCTAACTGTTATGATCAGTTTCTAAATCACGAGGCACGTGATGTAGTAGCTATTGTTCTTGCACGGAGTTATAATATTACCAGTGATGAACTTTAATTTTATTTTCGCCTTAGACATTTCATCCACCCACTGGTTGAAATTCATGTCCATTGACTTTTTTCGACGAGACAAACACGTTTTTTGGACTGTCGTGTGGTGGTGCAAAGGGTTATTTGCAATCTCTCCAAAGTGTATACTGATGACGACACCTAGTGAAACGGCCTGCAATCTCATTGAGTTTCTCTCGTTACCATCTAACCGTCCTAAACATTCATTTGGCCATGGCGATTTCCTTGACTGCATGGAACCGAAATTACATTCGTTTCGAAAAAATGGAGAATTATTCTAGCTGTTTGTAAGTTCTAGTTTCACATACGTGAGTTTGACGTTGTATGCACAAAGTATGACTACGAATATTATACGTTTTGACTGAGTAATTTATATATTTTCATATGTTCGGCAGTGGTCAATACCTAGGTTCGGACTAGTGTTCCATAAACTTATTGACCGTTTGCGGTAATCGAAATAAATGAATAACCCTGTAATGATCTAACAATCACTAAACAAAACTTCTTGCATAGAAACAGTCGTATTCAGCCAGTAAGTTTCGAATATGTCCCTGATTTGTACATCCATACCACATATTATGTCAGCCACAATAAATGTATGCGCTAACCGAATAAACGTAGAGTGCACAGAGCAGCTAAGGTGGACAAGTAAGTTACATTACTTAGTTATCCTAATTTAATGCGTTCTCAAGGTCTCATCGAAGAATTGCAAAGCAGGTCACGAAGGTGAGCACACGTTTGGTAAATGTTTGTCCTGTGGCAAATCGCATTCGCGTAATTCGTTTGTACTTCGTCATAGTAAATGTTTTAAATGTCTTGAAATTTGACACATTAAGTTGGTTTGCAGATTTACTGCTCATTTTGCCTTCCACGATTTTACTATTTTCATTGGCAGTATCAAGTTCATCGTATCGGTTTGGAAGTTGAAGACATTAAATTCAGATGTTTCCATTTCGAATGATTATGGTCACTAACTTCCTATTTTTGGGTATTCTAATTTGTCAATCAGAGACGACAAATCTTCAATCATAAACTGTGAATTTCTCGTCACTGATTGTGAACTGTCTATACTTGGTCTAGAAAATTTAAGAATGCTTCAGGAACCGCTTTTCCTATTGGCCACTGAAAATGGTTCTAATGAAGTGATTGATAACTTGCTAACTACGGAATCAAAGTAAAGAAAATTACGCTACCCTAATTCTCATGTGCAAGCAAGAAATTTCAAAACATTGAAAACAATCTGCGATTCTATTACTTCTGCAAAGTAAGATCTGCAAAGGAGAGCAGACAAGGTTACTCAGTGCAGAATTACTAGACGATATTCATAAAAAACAATGATGAAATTGTTTAAACAAAAAATATTTGTGTAATAACTCCTTTTCTATGATCTGTAGGATGTCTGCTGAAACAGGTCAGTATATCTGTGGTTTATATGCGAGCTGGTCACAACAACCAAGTATGTCACAATAAGTCAGGTGAGTCTGTTCAAATTTCGGTTGCTAATTCTTATACTAATGATAACGTTCTAGATCATACAGAGTCTACATCCAATACACAGTCTGACAAACACACAATGAACCTAAGAAGAAGTACAGTCAATTCGGATTTTTATTTAAGCTGTGACAGATGTTATATATGTACGAACTAATGATCTTTTTGTACTTCAATACCTGCTCATTACGAATTCTAAATACAATACGTTCGTTTTTGCTTATCCAGTTCTGTTCGATATAAATTGTACTGTTCTGGAAATTCCTAGCTAATCTTATATATTAGGCAGTCACATCATGTCATATCTACGATTTTAGGATTAGGTCTATAATTAGATCAGTACTAATAACAAAGAAGACCATAATTCTACGTTGGTTGGTCTGACTAAAGAAGCGCAGTCTATTGTTAATCATCATTTTCACTTTAGCTTTCTCGATTATTTATTGCCTATGTTAACCCATTATTCGATTAATCCTCTGATTAATGCTCGCGTGTATTACTGTATTGTGATGTTGGTTGGTACTCATAACTTACTAGCTCAATCGATACTGGTAACAGGTCATTTATATTGATTATTAGCTAGAGTGGCTCATTAACGAGCTTTAGTAGCATATAAGTGCTTCAGAGAAATAAACTTTTTAAAACATCAGGCTATGGCAAATATTCCCTTTCGATGACATAGATGAACATTGGCCAGCAATGTGAGCAAGAATACTTATTTGGATCTAATTCTTCATATTATTATTATTACTATTATTCAGAAGCATCTTATGGGTACATAAGTGTTGTGAAAAAAACCGTTTCGGGTTTCTTCAAAAATGCAATAACACACAAGTTTCAATAATGTTAGCATTATGTTTGCCATACTTGAAAAAGAGGATAATAATAGAATAATAATAAATCAGGTTATGTGTAATTGAGAAGACTATTGAACTGAGTTTAAAGAAAGAAAGGAAGAATATAAGAAAATAAATAAAGGAAACTACACGAATAGTTTATTGAGCGTGTTTACGAATACATAATATGGATAAATGACTGTGTATGTATCGTCAAATTAGTAAGAAAAATTAAAAATAGAACATAAATTTGAAAAATAGCTCACTGTTGCAGTAAGATATGACGCTAGAATAAATTTTTGTACAGTCATAGTTTGGAGTGATGCTATGAAAGTCTCAATTAAATGAAAAGGATAACGAAATATCAATTTGTATGAGTCACATATGCATAGTGAAGATAAAACGAGTTTGAGAAGTTAATTTAAGTGTAACGCAAGTTATTGTTCTAATTATAAACTTCGTAAACTTATTTGGACTGAAAATAAGAAAAAAGAAATGAACATCCAGCAAAAAGGTTCAACCATGATAATAATTAAAGTGTAATTAGTGTCGACCTTCAGAGTAAACCAACAATTCAAAAAAAAGCAAGAAAAAAGGGGGAAAGAAAGAAAAAGGAAAAAGAAAACTTCTTTTGGTGCGCTCACATAAATACATGTAGGTTTATATAATAGTATACAGAGTGAAACTTGATATTAGTATAAACGTTTGTGCAATAATAACTTTGAATGATGTAATGAAAGTCATAATTGGTTCAAAAGGATAATCTCTTGTGTTATATATATGCGTGTGGTGACGATAAAACGAATCTGAAAAGTGAATTTATTTAGGTATAACATATGATACCGTTTCTTCACTTAACGCTTCACTTCGGCTGCCTATTACCAGTGGTCTTGCATCTATGGAGCCTGTTACCAATCAACTGGTTAGGACAACAGAAAATAAAATCAGCACCAAGTTACTGTGAGTTCCTTCCTGTTTATCCTGTATTAACGTTTTACTCTTCAGTACACTATGTTGACTAGCAATTAATATTATTTCTCCACTCGTTCCCTTATCCACAACTTATATACTTCTATACTTTTTCCGCCTGCTTAAATAAACAACTATCCTACAATATACCCTTCTTGACGCTTATACTCTGATTGGCAAACTATACTTTATACTATAGTCAACAGAGGCACTGCATCGATGCTTTACCCACAGTCCATAGCTTGTAAATGCCTGATAAGCTTGTAAAATGGTACTTATAGAAATAGTGCTTTTCAACAGTTTGCGAAACAGAGGATTGTGCGAGGTATGACGTATATACAAAAATAAGCCTAAATGAGCCTAACGTCACAAAAGGAGGGAGGGTGGAGTTACTGACCAGCATTGATGGTGAGGGCGATAACTTCAATCCACTCGTGTTTGTGGGGACAGAACATTTTGTATGTATCAGGCTCTTCATGATTGAGAATAGGTCAACCAATCTGTGATATAGATTGTTTTCTTACGCTCACCACTCAAACTCATGTTTCCAATATTATGCTGGATTAGCTATTCTACTAAGACAACCTATAACATGCTAACTCGGACTTTTACACTAGG